ACGTATTTTTATCTCGTTTTTTATTGCCCCTGTTTTCTCTTTTGTTCCCACACTTAGATTTTCTCAAAGTGTCTGCATTTCTAGATAAGTAATATATTTGGATCTTATGACAAACGTCTTCTCCTACCATTCGAATTTTCGCTTTATTATTGTAGCGGTAAATAAATCCCCAAAATAAATAGCTCTGTAAATTTTCGACATTGGATGCTGACCATGTGTTTTAATCGACTCACCTAGCTGAAGGTGCTCGGTCATGCATCCGCACCATATCAACATCTATTGCAATCGCTAGATAGACTAGATCAGACAATTCCGATATATTGACAATCGTCGAATACAACTTCTAATCTCCTCGATTCTGTCTTTTGATTTCTCTTGGTGGGTACGAGTTATATTAGAAGGTGTTACTGGTAAAAGCGTTCTCAAACACTGAATGCCTGTGGTATCCTCAATGGTGAGGCCGACGTTATCTGGTACACCTAATTGCAACTGTAAGTCTGTTCCTTTTTAGGATTTTTATATATTATTGCCTTATTTTTTATTTTCTATACATTGTGATATTTTTTCCCCGTGTCTCAGGATATCTATATATTTTTCCCTCGTATTCTCGTACTTAGTATTCCCCTATGACCGAACAGATTCCTAAGGTATTCAAGATTAAGACCATGTCCCCACCTCGTTCCAACTCACGCCCTTCTGGCCCGACAATATCGAAGCCTGGTTCTTCTACTACCGAGGTTTTTTCAGTCAAAGAAAAGCCTCAAACGACTCACAATGACATAACCGAGTTATGTCATACACTTACACGTTATCCTAATTTTCGTAACGACCGTAAGCGATCGCACACGCCACATAGAAGTATTTCACGTAAGCGATCTGTCTCTAGACCACGAGAGATGGATAACCCCTACTTGTGCTGGTACCATAACCAGTATGGAAAGTCTTCCGGAAATTGCAGAAAACCCTGAAATTTTCCCAACTCAAAACTGACTGACTCGATAAACAACTCGGGAAACTTCCAAGCCGGCACGCGTTAACGGCAACCGTAGCCGGCAAACATAGCCGTCTGTTATACGTCACAGATGTGACAACGAGAGTTCCCCACCTCGTCGACACTGGCGCAGAAGTTAGCGTTCTCCCAGCGAATCCCAACGATCGGATTCATGAATCGGCTTCAAACTTACATGCGGCAAACGGAAAACCTATCGCTACGTATGGCAAAAGGTACGTTTACCTGAATGTGGGTTTACGCAAACCCATCCATTGGATCTTCGTTGTTGCGGATGTATCTATGCCAGTCATTGGTATGGACCTTCTACAACACCATAATCTGATCATCGATACTCGCAAACGGAGGCCAGTAGACGGAAACACTAATTTATCCGTTTGCGTAACTTCTTTTACTGGTTGCAGATTATCCCCCAGTCACAATTCAGCATACGATAGACCCACTCTATCAACCACTACTCGATAAGTATCCTGGGATTCATCAAACGCAACCAAAACTACCGTGTGTAACCAGCAACGTTACACATCACATCACGACTACAGGACCACCTGCATTCTTTAAAGCACGACGACTAGCCACTTAAAAGCTAAGGTTGGCGAGAAACGCGTTCGATCACATGATAGGCTTAGGAATCATACGACCATCAAATAGCACAGATATATCTCCTTTTCACATGGTCCCCAAAAAGGACAGCAAAGATTGGCGTCCAACTGGTGACCATCGGCGATTGAATGTGAAAACCATTCCCGATCGTTACCCGTTGCCTCATATTCACGATTTGACAGCTACCTTGAAAGGTACAACTGTCTTAAAGCGTATAATCAAATCCCTATGGCTACAGACGATATACCGAAAACAGCTGTCATAACTCCCTTCGGACCCTATGAATTTTTGCGAATGCCTTTCGGTCTACGAAATGCTGCTCAAACATTCCAAAGATTCATGGACGACGTTCTTCGAGGTCTCAACTTCGTACATGCGTAGGCTGACGACTGCCTAATCGCAAGTCCGGACAGAGAAACACATCTCAAGCATCTGGATCGTGTTTTCGAACGACTACAAAAACATGGCATTACTGTAAACGTTCAGAAATGCCAAATTCGGACCGACTCATTGGACTTTCTGGGACACACTATAGACGCTCAAGGTATCCGACCCCTTAGAACCAAAGTGGCGGCCATTCTGGATTACCCAGAACCGACCACCGTCAAGCAATTACGCACGTTTAACGGCCTGGTAAGTTTCTATAGACGTTTCATACAGAAATGCGCATTACTCATGAAACCGCTAACCGACCAACTTCGTGAAAATGCGAAATCCATTAATTTGGACGGCACCGCACGAAAAGCATTCTCCACAGTTAAGGAACTGATCGCTAAAGCGACAATGCTCGCACATCAGGACACCGAAGCACCAATTAGTATCGCAGTAGACGCATCCGACTCGGCAATCGGAGGAGTCTTACAACAATTGGTTAACAACTCCTGGCAACCCTTGGCATTTTTCTCTAGAGGGTTGCTAGACACCGAATCAAGGTACAGCACATTCGGTAGGGAACTCCTAGCTATGTATTGTGCTGTACGGCATTTCCAACACTATGTCGAAGGCAGTGAGTTCACCCTTTTTACTGACTATGAACCTTTAACTTTCTCCTTAAGCTCCTCTTCATAAAAGTACTCACCTCGTGAGTCTCAACAACTGAACTACATTTCGCAGTTTACTTCAGACATCCAACACATTTCTGGAGTAAACAATGCAGTCGCGGACATCTTGTCTCGAATAACTTCCTTGAACAGTTTCCAAGGGATCGACCTTCTTAAACTCGCAGAGCTTCAAAAAGAAGACACTGATCTTCAACACGAGTTATCGTCTACAACCCTTAAACTACGCATCAAACAGATGGGAACAGGTAAGGAAACCTTACTGTGTGACACATCTACAGGTAGGGATCGCCCAATCGTTCCGAAACATTATTATTATTATTATTAGCTTTATTCAATATTATAATTTTGGTACAATATAGAATTCTCAGCGCAAAGTATTTCAACAAGTTTCCGTTTCTTTCTTCTTGGTCGGTCCTGGCGATAAATATTGAGGAATCGCCAGTTAGATGTTAGCACTTCAGTAAATGAACAACTGAATAATGTACATTCTTTTCGTTGTACATTGCCAGCAACCATATTGTCTCTTATTGAGTTTTTTGTAACTTTGACGACGAAAGGTTGTACACTTTTCAGAAACGCAGCAGAATAGGTTATGCGATTAATAAACATAATGATATATTAAAACAAACAAAAATAGATAACTTGTTGAAATATCTAGATGGCAGGAACAGGTAGCCCAGATCCTCAAGCAGGCCGCAATGTCTTCAATACATTACACAAACTTTCTCATCCAGGCGTTCGTGCAACCATCAAGCTTATAGCAGAACGGTTTTGCTGGCCTGGAATGAATAAAGATGTGGCGGAGTGGGCACGCTCCTGTGTAAGCTGCCAAAAATCTAAGGTTATCAGACACAATAAATGTTCCTAAGGCTCATTTAATACTCCCGATGCTCGTTTCGACCATGTTCATCTGGATTTGGTAGGACCTTTACCAGATTCAAATGGATACTCTTACCTCTTAACCTGCGTAGACCGTTTCACTCGATGGCCAGAAGCAGTACCTATCAAGGACATCACTGCTGAAACAGTGGCTCGCGCCTTCGTCGAACGATCGGTAGCAAACTTCGGCTGCCCTTCAACCATCACTACAGACCGCGGACGTCAGTTTGAATCTGAACTTTTCCGTCGTCTGACCACACTTTTAGGAACCACTCGCTCCCGAACGACTGCCTACCACCCACAAGCAAGCGGGTTGGTAGAACGCTTTTACCGACAACTAAAAGCTTCACTATCAGCTGCAAACTTTTCACAGTGGACCGACGCTCTTCCACTCGTCTTACTAGGTATCCGCAATGCCGTGAAAGCTGACATTGGATACACTGCGACTCAACTCGTTTGTGGAACGACACTTCGACTTGCAGGAGAATTCGTGGATCCTTCGTCCTCTTCAATGAACATGGATATAACCTCCTACACGAAGAGTCTTACAAACGCAATGCGTTTAGTTAAACCTGCTTCCACTCGACCTCAATCAACTGATGTTTTCGTTCAGCTTGACTTACGATATAGTACACACGTTTTCGTTCGTCGAGACTCGCATCGACGACCCTTCGAATCAACATACGAAGGACCTTCCAAAGTTCTTCAACGCGAACCGAAGTACTATATAATCGATAAGAACGGAACCAACGATAGCATCAGCATCGATCGCCTAAAAGCAGCGTATTTAGAAGGAAATCCTATCTACGTCGATTTTCCTTCGGTACAATCGAACGACACGACTCCACTCATAGTCCTCAACCGACAATCAACACACACGATGATACTTGGACAGTATCTGAAAATAAACTTAAGACGACGCGTTCTGGAAGAAGAGTAACATTTCCAGAACATTTAAATGACTATTGCACGTAAGACACTAGTCAACATTTTGTTTCATCTCGATTTTCCATGGTATAATATAATATAAAAAATCAATTTTTACATGCTTATATTTATATATTATTATTTGGCTAATATGTACATTATATAAAATTAAAAAAAACCAAAAACCAAAACAAATTTCGTGAAAATCGCTTTCAGGCTATTTAACTTTTTTCGCCCATACCCGTGCCATCTTCATTATTTTCCATATTGGGGCCAACCAATCTCCTGCCTGGTAGTGTGTTAGCTCTTGGTATCTAGAAACCTCAATATACTGAGACAAACTCACTGAAATTACAGTATATGCTAACCCACAAATAACTGGCAAAATGACTATATTTAATGCAGTCGAATAGCTAAACGCTTCCCATTCAGGACTGTCAGGGCCCTGAAACCCAAAGAAGTCGACAAGAAGAAAGTTCAGATTAATCAATCAACTTATACAAGTTAGTCACAGGATAATAGAGGTCGGAGACCCGCAATTTATAAGCTATTGCGGTACACTACAATTCTCATAGACGAGTGTGCTCTAGAGACGAGTAGATTGAGATCGAGAAAGTGTGTAATAACCCTGACCAGGACCAATATAAAGACTGGTAATAATTTTGGGGGCTTTAATTCAGGTTAGAGAACTTGTCGTAAACTCGTTGCGGTTGTTTTAAGTTCGTCCCTATATATATATATATATATATATATATATATATATATATGGTTGATGTGCATTGAATTCAAGTGATATGGACCAACATCCAAAAAGCTGATATTTTTAAATTATAGCTTGTAACTTTGACTATAGTCTAAGTTACTGACACAGTTAAACTTAATATATATAGTCAATTCACCTGTTATAACTGACTTAAGTTTAAGAGTCCAATTATGAGTGCATAAAGCCTTTTCTTATGCTTCAAACCGGTTACCTAATTTTCGAAGTTGTGTGAAACGGTATTATGAGGAGTTAGTACATATCTACCTGTTTATGCAGTTCATTATAATGATTTAAAGCCTACTCTCCAAGCCACTAGTCTATAGTTATATTGTTAGATACAGTTCTCAGTAATGTTACATTATGAGTGAGACTTCAATCAGGTATAAGACAACAGGTCTCGGATTTTAGCGCGAAATCCACTCATCCATTTGGCTAAATGACGTTCCGGCATTTTATCTTATGTCTGTTTGTGATGGAAACAATAAATCTAATTCCTGACTCTAACTATCAACTGTAATCAATAACTAGTTCCTCACACTGGTTTATAACCCTCATTTAGTCCTACTTATTAGGTGGACACTCAAGGTCACTGTAGCATCGCTCAAAGGTCGTCCATAAATTGTAGTCTCACCGAAAACACCTCAAACTACCACTGGGATTAGGAATTCAGCTGATAAAAGACACTGAGTAACTGTTCACCACACTCTATTTAGTGAATAACCTTATCAAAACTATCCAAACAGCGGTATTCATATACGCAAAAGATATGACACATATACATTTGTAACAACGTGCAAAATTGTACCCGCATTTTAATAGCAAAATAAAGTGTGAACCCTTTGAAAGTCTCCAGTCTTCAGTAATAAGGATAGGAGGTCTATCGACCTATATTAATCCTTGCAGTTTGTAATACTATGGAGGTCCAATCTCGTTTTGAATATATTAACAGAAGGTGCTGATATTACGTGTTCCGGTAGAGAATCCCAGTAATTCACTACTCGGTGCGAGAAACGAAACTCCAGGCGTAAACGATTTGATCTCGGTTTTTGAACTTTCTTCGAATGTTCTCTCAAATGATCAGTCCTAAATGGAAGTAAAAGATAAGACATATTAATACCAAGGTCATCGTTCAGTATACGATAAGCCAATATTAGATCACCTCGTGTTCTACGGTAAGATAACGGAAATAAGGTGTCTCAGTATGTCTTTCCAACATATCTGCTTCATACTAAATGTGGTCGCACATAAATCGGGTATAGTAATCTAAACATTTCATCATCTAAGTACTGGAAAGACCCACGAATAGACCATAATACCCTATAGCCTTTCTCAGCAGCAGCCTTACATTGACTAGTGGTTTTGAAATCACTGCTTAATATGACTCCTAAATCTTTATAGTTTCTTATCTTGGGTAGCACGAAACCACATATTGTATAGTGATACGATTCATCAACGTTATTTGATTTCATCACTACACTTATTAGGATTTACTTCTAGTGACCACGTGTCCAACCATGCCACCAATGAGTTAAGATCATTCTATAATACTATCCTATCCGACATATTGTGTACGGGTCTCCAAATTTTTATGTCATCAGCGAAGAGTAGGACGGATGATTTCGCTACAGTTGGTAATTCATTTACATAAAGTAAAAAGAGAAGAGGACCGAGGATTGTACCTTGGGGAGCGCCACTTTTTACAGGTACCCACGAGGAGGGAGCCCCATTAACCTTTACCCTTTGTCTCTTGTCATGGAGAAAGTTACTTATCCAATCCACGACTGTATAATGGGTTCCAAAACGTTCCAGTTTGAATTTAAGACCAGAGTGGGAGACCTTATCGAAGGCCTTACTTAGATCTATGAAAATTACATGCACAGGAATATTCCGATCTTTTGCAGCAGCCCAATCTTCTCTTGCAATGAGAAGATTTGTCAAGCATGCTAGGTCTTTCCGAAAACCATGTTGTTCCCTGGAGAAAAGATTATGCCCTTCAACATAGTTTATAACAGATATCCGAATGATTTTTCCCATCGGTTTTACAACTGCACTAGTTAAGCTAACGAATCTATAGTTACTAATTAAATCCCTACTCCCAGCCTTATACACCGGACTTATTATAGCGTCTTTCCAGTCTCTGGGCAGTCTAGACTGCATCAGAGACATGTCAAACAGTATCGCTAATGGTTCGTCAATTTCATCTGATATGGCTTCCATAATCCTAGGATGAATATTATCAGGACCACTGGACTTATCAGGTTTGAGATGCTGAAGTAGCCTTAAAACAGTAACTTTCTCAATGACCACAGGGTCCATCAGCGAGCCGCCACGATCACGATGAGTCGTTGATCGTTCTTCATTACCGATAGGAAACATTTTACTGAAATATTCAGATAAAGCTTCAACTTTTTCGGTATCATTTTCTGCCAAGATTAAGGGATTTTCTTGTATCAAAAGTGATGGGATTCCATCTCTTCTGTGAGTTTGCCTTTTTAAATACAAGAATAACCGTTTCGGACTATATCTAGAATCCCTAACCAATTGTTTTTCATATGATCTACTCTTACTTATTAACGCTTTACAAGCATTCCTAATCTTACAATAACTGGATCTGTATTGTTCTAAGCCCGTAGAGATGAACATATTCCAGTGCTCCTTCCTTTTTCTAAGAAGTTTCTTGACTGTTTTAGTTATCCACGGTGGACTGTTATTCGGTCTTCGAGGTATCAAGTATGGGCTCCCAAATGCTCTGGTATGGCCGAGAGTGGGGGTGGGCCCTTCCCCCCTCTCGAAATGCTCTCACACGGTCACGCGCATACAGCCTCTGCCAGGGAAGTCCTACTCACTGCCTTCTCATGGGGGGGGGTTGTTTACGAAAATGAGAGGGCGAAAAGCGAATGTCCGGCGCTTTAACCGGATTCCAAACCAATGGTGCACATGGGCTCCAGTATCCTGCGGGAACAAATAGCGTATGAACCAAATTTCGGTCACCGGCTACCATGGTACTGCATCTCCTCACGATGCTCCACTGCCTTGTGGGTCAGACCTTTAGATCAAAGGCTCGGGGTGTGGCCCCCTAAGATAACCACCTGCTTCGGTCTGGGCACCCAGGCAGTATCACAGCCCACACATGTGTGGCGTATATATATTTGGTGTCCTCTTGTGCCAATATTTATGTGTTCAAATAAATAAATAAAACCAGGTATGGTATGAACGAGGACGTAACTAAACTAAACTTACCTTTAAATACAGACCATGCTTCTTCGACTGATAAGCTAGTATCTACAAACCAATCTGTCTTAGCAGTGCTTTTCTGAATGGCTGATATGTTAGCCTTCTATACATTTGGGCGGGGTGTAACCTGATCGTATAACATGTCCCTAGTTCTAAACGTGAATGACAAAACAGCGTGATCGTTGGTCACTAACGGTGGAAGAATATTTAGGTCGACAATATCCTTAGTATCATGAGTGATACATTTGGGCGGGGTGTAACCTGATCGTATAACATGTCCCTAGTTCTAAACGTGAATGACAAAACAGCGTGATCGTTGGTCACTAACGGTGGAAGAATATTTAGGTCGACAATATCCTTAGTATCATGAGTGATTACCAAGTCCAACAGAGAAGAACCTTGGTTAACACCAAAACGTGTGGGTTTGGATACATGCTGCACTAGTGGAGAAGATTTGTAGCTCAGGTGGATGATTTTGGTGGAGTTTTGTTCTCTGAGCTTGATGGTTTGGTCGTGGAGCTTTCATCGTTCTTCTGAACGACTTCTATCTGAAGTTTGTGCTGATGATGTCGTTCAGAAGAACGATGAAAGCTCCACGACCAAACCATCTAGCTCAGATAACAAAACTCCACCAAAATGCTGCACTAGTGCATGCTCCGTTATTGTTATCAGGAACCTACTATCAAAGGAGTTTATAGATCCTTCCGTGGTCATCTCAGTTCAACTAATATCAGGTGCATTAAAGTCTCCTATTATCAAGCATCTGGTATTTGCACTCCAAAGATGAATGTGCTCTAAAATAAAGTCATCAGCTAAGCAGATCGGGCTTCAATAGATGACACCGAGCATAAATGTACTACATCTGATAGCCAATTTACAGTTAATGACTTCACAAGTACCGCTACCGTAGGATTCGCTAGCAGAGGAAAGAATATTTATACTATTGGGTATACATAACAGGACACCACCTCCTTTTCTACATCTATGTCTACCACTCCTGAAGTAATGGTATCCGGATAATTCTGGAGTAATGTCTAAGTCATGGACTAACCAAGCTTCTGTCACTGCTACAATGAGTGACTTTAATCTGTGCACTGATGCTTCTAGTTCATAGAACTCATTTTTTAGACTACAAGCGTTGGCATATAAAACTTCTAAGTAGAACGGCTTATCCACACAGGCCTTGATAGCATTCGCTTCCAAGACCTGACTATCCGAAAACCCACTAGCCGGAGATTTTCCTCACCGTTTTGCCGACCGGTTTCTAGTTCAGCTAGTGCCCTCTTCGAGAGGCATATCAGGTCTAACTCGGATGTCGGAATTGTCGTGACAACGAGCGCTACTTAACAGGAGATCCCGTTGCTTCTCCGATCCTAGGATTACCTTAAGGAGTCTGCATGGTTGGGGTTCAGCAATGTCCTCAGTCCTCTTGCCTATTCTAACCAGTTTTTTTTTACCTGAACTCCTTTAGAGTTATCTGGTAAGATACTACGAATATACTACTAATGTCTTCAATCATTCATTAAACTTATCCGTAACGATGGAGCCATTAAACGTACAAGGAATTCAGAGACCAGGTACAAAATCACTGACCTAGATTTGAACAAATTAAATGAAATAAGAACCTTTCCCTAGAGTTAACTTTCACCATCTTATCTATTTTAAAATGGTATGTAGCTGAGTAAAGTTTGTATCGTAATCTATGGTTGGAGACTGAGTGACAAAGCTCATAATCGATAATAATGGTGTCGGTGTATACATTCTTTGTCTGCCCTTAAACCGTGAGATTAAAATTGCTTTATTTCTACGAACTAATTCTTTCTTCCTGTACTATATCCTTCTATGCAATCCTTCTTTTATGTATTACTACCATTGAAGTGACTACTATGAATTTTGTGTTCATCTTGTTGTGCTAATGAAGTTTGGCAACTTGAACCGATGCATGTACGTGCCTGGTCCTACGTTGCAACTGACTGATTTAGGGATGAAAACAATATAACGACAAGTAATTATCAAGTTCAAATGGTTATAGACGGAATAGAAGGAGCATTTGCTTAAAGAGCCTTTATGTCTAATAGCATGTAATCGATACCTCGAAGTAGGGACCTAGGTGTATAAAACGAGCAGAAGAGAAGTGTTTGCAATTTTGTGTGATATACTGTCCGAACTCCCTAGTAATATGTCATGTTTTCCTTTGAAGGACTCTTAGAAAGTTACTTAACCACCTCAGTTGTCAAGGAATTCCAAGTCTTGACTACTCATGAAGATTAAACTCTTAAAATGCTGTAGGTTGTCAGAAAATCGCCTCTAAGTTCCCCTTACTCGAATAACTAGAGATCTATTAATTTAAGGCGTTCCTCATAAAGCTTGAGGTTGAGCTCCTAAACTGCAATTTAGTGATATGCTGATTACTTAGCTATCACCTATGCTAGTCTGTCAACAGTGACTGGATAACTGTCTGGTTAAACTTACTGATACGATATGGTCTACCCTATCAAGAAACTTCGAGAAATCAAGACTTTTTAATGGCCCTCCTCAAAGCTATGCCTTTGGTGTGAAAAGAATTTTATGGAATGGAATGCGATTTCTTGAACCATATCGTATTCAGACTCATGATTTGTTTATTTAACAATCTGAATTACATTTCACTATTTCCTGTTCAAGGTATCGTCTGGAGATAATTATAACGCTCTTAGGTACGTATAAGTGTTTATACTGAAAAATCACTAGCTGATTATCAGAAAAAGTAAGGACTTCAACTCTAGATTTTTATAATTAAAATGTGAGCCTAGTTTTTGCTTCACAAAGTTCCCAACTTATATTCATAAATTCAATATAGATAGACTTTTTTATTTAAGCAGGGGACGCTTGAATAAAGACATTTTAAAAGGTATGAATATGATTATTATTTTTGCATTTAGGCCACCAATTTTGTTTAATATCACTTGAAAAATAACATTTGATTCAATAGAGTTTACAAACGTTTTCTTCCTGGTTTAGCTCTGTGATCTTAGAGGGTGGGTTTGTGGTGTGCTACTCATGTCGACAGATATAAGTAGTATGTATCATTAATCGAAAGTGAAATACCTGGCAGTAAGAGGTTAATAAGATCGAAGAAAAGAGAACGAGTACAAAGAATGATCGGTGTGCGAACGAAATAACAGTGAAGTCTGAGACGATTGATTGACATTTTGCAAATGAAGAATTTACTGTATGGTTCTCAGATTTTACTAAGATGTTCTGTAATTTTGTATTCAAACACATTCGACTGTCTCCACTTGTGTTCTCGTTCACTACAGGTTTACTGCTTTTTTATAGGACATGCCTTCTTACAGGATTGACTCTTCAAGAGCAATACCCAACACACAGTTACTACTCACGGACATTTTTCCTCGATTGCAAAAATCGTAGTGTGAGAACTAACAGTAAATAGTTATTTTGTATATCGGAAATAATTCCCTAGCTTATCTGATGCTTATTTAACCAAGCACAGTAGAAAATTAATTTACGTAACTAAACGCATCAATTTTTGAACTTCTGATCGCAAATAATGTAATTAGTGTCACAACTATATTCTATATATTATGCATTCATCCTTCAGCTGATTCATCTAAAAAGTAAGGCCAAAAATAATGTCAGATGACAGTGATGCCTTTGCTAGTGCAGATGAAAGTATCCATATTAGTGTTGAAGCGAACAACCCAGTGAAAAATCATCTACAGTCTAATTTTAAAGAGAACGTCGATAATCACGACTATAGTAATCCAAATATTTTATCTAAGCAACTTGCAAATCCAGCGTCATCGACAAAAAAGTCAAATGTAGTTGAATCAAGAAAGAAAACTGCCAAACAAACGAAATTACAATCTGTGCCCAAAAAGTTTGAAAAAGTAAGCTGAAAGTTTTTTTTATTTTAATGGAATATATGGTGTCTAGATAATGAACACTTTGGAATTGAAAAGTTTTCTATTAGTCTGTATCTTTGTTTATCTCAAGTAAACAGATGTATCCGAATAATAAAATTGAATAGGGTCAGCTATTTTGTCGAAGATTTGGAGCCACACTGTAATGTTAATAATCATTCACCAACATCTTTTCACCATAACAGTTATCCAACTGTTATCAGGAAATCGCAACACTTGATTGTCATCCACTAAGTGTAGTATCTTTGTTCTATTTTGCATGACTCTTTGGCAATGTAGTTGACTGTCAAACTGTCAGTGTGGTTTACATATTAGGCCATAGTTCATAAGTTATTACTTTGATTTGCAAATTTTTAATGATTGATCAACATCTTTATGAAAATCATCGGTTTTAACGTTAACCGGTTATTGCAAGTTTTGAAAGTACTTTTTTTCATGGGATTCAAGGTTAATGAAACACCGTTGAATATCAACTCAAAGAAAAATCTTGGAGAAGTCACATCTGTCGGGTTTAGCGCTAATAAAAATGAAAAACATGACCAACAACTTTCATCTTTCCGTCCTTCCAAAAAGTTTGAGGGGCCAGTAAAATGTGTAAAATCTAAAATGGAGAGAGTAGGTTCAAATGAAGGGAATAATTTCGTAGATAAACGAAGTGATTTTCCGATCAGTAATAAAGAGGAACAAGTTATTAATGATGACACCAATAAATGCTCCAAAGTGAGCGAATTCATAACTGAACAACTCCCTGTAATAGCAGATATTATAAATCCCATCACATCACTTCAACTTCATTCTGAAACAGATAAACTTTCGACAGTTGAATCTTCAACAGAAGTAGATTTCACAACTTCAGTTGCTCCAAACATCCCACGTGGTCAGGGTAATGGGATGAGTTCACTTGTTGTGTTAGGGGATGTAATAAAAGGAAATCCACCATATGACGAAGTACTAAAACGAAGAGTTGAAGTACAATCTGGAGAGGAAAGCGAAAGGAAAGTAATATTAGATACATGGAACAGTGTTTGGAATACATCGTGGACTAATGACGATGACAATCAAGAGGAAGATGACGACAATCAACAGAGTGGTGGCTGGGAAGTAGACTTTCTGGAGGAATCAGGCGATATATCTGAATCACAGTCAAGCAACATAAATTACTCAATGGTTAAAAATTCGAAGATTCTTGACTCAACTAACAATTCTTCATGTGGTAGCCAGATTTCGTCAAACATAGAAAAGCGCGATGTAGAACAAAAGACAAGTAGCAGCAATTTTTCATGGGGTTGGAGTGGTCTATCTTCATTCGGCCAACAATTGACTTCTTCACTACAAGCAACTGTAAGTTGTAGGATTTTTGAGCTAACGTTTCATCGTTTTGAAACTCATACTTAGAGTATATGTTCGGAGTAATAAGTTTGTATTAATAATTTGCTAGTAATTATCTTTAGCTATCCTACATTAATAATGATAGTTAAAAGAGATTTCGAAGTGTTATATATATATGAATTTTAAAATTCCTTCATAATTTAGTCACTGGCATTAAAATAGCGTTGAAGTAGTGTATGTAATTGTTCAGAGTAAAACACTGAACCAGTCCCATTTAGTTTGAGTGACTGTTGATCTCAGTTTTGTATAAAAGTAATTTGACGGACCTGTCGGGGAACACTGACTGTGTACCTAATGGCTTACATCAACAAAATATCTGCCCAACACCCCGTATTGGCAAAAACACCCCAACTGAAGTCAATTTGTGGTGATTACTGCTTAAAAATTAATCTAATCTCAAAAAGCTACTCCATCAAAGATATTCATTTAGACTTAATAGTCTAGTTTCCCTATCGCATCGATTTGCCATAGTACTAAAATGACTTCAGATTATCTAACGTTTTAAGTTTCGTTGGTAAATCATGGTTCCGATAAACAAAAACGGCCCCGGAAGCTTTTTCGACCAATACACTTTTGCTTTTAAACTTCTGGCATTGGTCTAGATAAATGATTCCCTGAGCACTCCAAACATTGTGAACTATGGTACCCATATCCGTCATGTAAGGAAACATCATTAGGACTTGCGTACAATATCCTTGCTGCATTGTAATCTGCACTAAATTTCCCCTTTACAACACCCACATCTCTATTGTCACTATTACTACCATGGTTAACAAGTAGACCATATCTAGTGTTAGCTATATCAGCATGGTCCTTTACAAACTCAATAAGATTGTTAAACAGAGGCTCTCGACCTCCTTTAATAATCTTATAAGCTACCTTTAGCCGCTACTGTTGGACGTGTGTTGATAATTTCAGAACCGTAGTTTCAATAGTTCTAGAGGAGTTCAAATCAGAAACGTAATTCATTTGTTCGAGAGTCAGACCACATGCTTGCATTTCTCGTGACAATCTTCTCAAACCGTCTGGTTGCTTCCTTATATTCGAAAAAATTAACAAGTTGCCAATAAACATACGTGCTTTTTTTGGCCAAACGTTTCCTCAAATATCTTTAATGCTTTATGATAACCTATCGCCAGTTCTAGCATAGTACAATGAAGGATAGCTGTTCTTGCTTCTGCATCACAATACTGAATTAAGTAATTCAACCTAGCTCTGGTTCCAATATCCTCACTGCCTATACATTCTTCGAATTTTCTAATAAAATTCCAGTAATTTATTGGTGTACCATCGAATTTTAAGATTTCTTTTGGTAAATGCAGATTTTTCACTATTATATTCTCGCTATTGCTTACTGATTGACGGAAACCTTCATTCTCTTGACAACGTAACTTTTATAGTTCAATTTTTTTCTCCAACTGGGTTACACGTAACCTGACTGACTCCAGTTCTATCAGGTTATTCGTTTGGGGTTCATCCCTTTCCAGTTGGTCTTCGTCATATGTTGAATTATTTCTTATAGTCATGCGAATTGGTTAAGTTTACATATTAGGAGTTAGGTTAAAGGTTGTAAGATTGAGTTTTAATCCAATAAGGCTTTCGCTAACAACTGACGTCAGCTATGGTGCCAAAAGGTCAGGGTTATATATTATGAGTTCGGCTTACATATTAACGTTAGGATTTTCATCACCAGCTTAAACCAGCTGTAATGAAATTATACTTTACTTGCCACTATTCTAATTACAAATTGAATAAACTTATTATTGATAATGGAAGTTAAGAGTGGAAGAATGCTATCTAGCTACACTAAACATCCTGAACTATACATTGGATCATACTAAGTACTCTAACATGCAATCTGTACCAAGATCAGATATTTCTTGTAATTTGACTTAATCACTATCTTATATTCACTGGTTGCATAATAAGTATTTATCGATTTAAAGAACCAAACGATGCTAATTTCTTACCTTGTTCATAATAACATACAAGTTGTCCTTCACTGGACGCTCAGTTTCGCCAAAAATTTATGGGGAGATATCTTAGTTCTAATTATTTCGCTCAAGGCTGCTAGCGTAGCACATTTTTGCCCGACTGGTATTGCTATACACTTACATGGTGTGTCCTTACTTTTGGACGGACGAGTTATTCTTATTGTTCCGGTCGTTTTGCCATTTATGTGTGACAAGCATGTGTGCCTGAAGTATTTAAAGTCTACATGATTGCTTGTATCTATCATGCCTGTAAATGTTGAGTCATTTCGGCTAAATAAAGTTGGCTGTTTCTGTCATTCCTGTTCACATGCATTTTTCTTGTCTCTTATCTTTCGTTCGCGTTAACGAATGTTTGAACCATGTTCCTCAATCACTTTCATACTTTGCTTCTTATATCTACATTGCTATTGACGGTTTATCTTGACAGAATGCACACGAAGTAAATTTTTTCATTATGTTTGCGATTGTTATAGAGTTTAAATTTAGTACAAGGAGGTGTCGATGTTCTGGAATTAATCGGACGTAAAACGATGTCTGTATTGGCTGAAAATGATCCTGGTTTCAACTATACCAAAAAGTTTTTACGTCCACCAAATGCTATTAATAATTGTCCAAATCTTTCTAAGGTTTGTTTTCGTATTTAAACATGGACTGTTTTTTCCTTTCGAATTTTCAGTTTTACACATCGAACGAAATTTATGGGGTACGTTTCTATGATGAGAGCATCGTGGGAGGTAGCGGAATTAAAAATCTATATTTTAGGTTATTGATCGTCAAGACGAGATTTTCTCTACTCTTGATTTTGTTCCACACCACTAATTCATCAAAGTAATCTTGCTAGACGGTCTATTTTATTGTTGAATCAGTCAGCAGAATTCATCTAATCAATTTTTCAGTGTCATTCAGTTATACATAAAGTAGAACCTGACACATTTTATGCATCGGTTCAAGTTAAAATACCACAATAGCACAGAAAGATGCAATTATTTCAAGATAAGTCTCAAACTAGTAGAAGTAGTAAAAGTATCAGTAGCAGTAGAAGGTATCAAATACAGGAAGAAATGTATCAGTAGATTTTGAAGTGAGTGTTTAAGTCACTGGGTACAGAAGGTTATATTCTTTGTGCTTATCTGATGAGTTGTCTGCTTCTGGGGTAATATTATTTGATGCAACAAAAGACTAATAGTATGTCGATCTATTTTCCTGTACATTTGATTATTTTTTTCAGATCTTGTGCAAGTCGTGTAAACTTGAACTTATTTCAGACTAATAATCCTCCGTACTGAGTAAGACACAAAATATTTAGTTGTAGCACTTATTCTATGAATAAGTGAAGCGTTAACTTGATAGTTAAAATTCTGGATTTTCAATCACTATGTTGTAAGTTCAAACCCCATACTCCCTACTTCGGTTCGGATTATATGTAGGTCAAGTTACTAACTAAATTTTGAGTTGTAACCAGCATTTAGGAATCATTGCAATCAGTTCAACATAGTAGAGAGAATATTAATTAAAGTCACTAGTTAGAGTGAAGTCAGTGAAAATGAATACATTTTCTTGATTAGTTTGTTTGGGGCCCGTGTTATCGGATCGCAATACAAGAGAGCAGTTGTATTGATCTAGTCCGCATATTAAATAGCTCAACCAGACTGTCGACCTAGTGCCAATGACCTTCGGTTAAAGAACAGCACGCTAAATGTGAGATGACAATCAGGAGTAAAACTAAATACCCATTAGTCCAGAATGCATTTTCCCACACTTGCTCGTGCAATAACCAGAATGGGGAACAACTCAGCAAGCACATATAATTATGAATTTCGAAATTATGAATCATTCAAATGATAATATTGGAGCCAAATCCTGAAAACACATCAACAGGATTAAGAAATTACAATATGGGCACAACCATGCAAGTGGAGGACGATTGAGTGATGGGCCCGTAATGAATTAACTGATGTGTGGGCGGGGATGATCATGATTGGTTGTCTACTTAGTCAGACATGTAGATAGTCTGACAGGTGTCATATAAGTTATGTATTCGCTTATCCTTATTATTGTGACGCACTTATTATTGATTGTTCATTGTTGTGGACTGTGTCGGTTTTTGGTGTGGAAGTATATTCACGTTGTGGTCAGGCTAATTACGTGTTCTTGATCTGAGTTGTGTTGACGTCCTGTAGAATAGACACTAGTAGGGATCTAGTGTAGATAATCGTTTTAGACGAGGTAAATCGCGAGCGTTATAGCATGAACAATAACTTGAGGAAGGTCAAACACAATAAGTTTGTGCATTAAACAAAAGCTCACAGGTAGGAAATACCGAAAATATAGTATTTTAATTATTTAGTAATTATACAACAAAAATGTGCATACACAATAACTTCAGATAGAACTTCAGAAACTGCAAGTTTCCTTAAAAGTAATTTAAATTCTGTTAAATTTTTTATTATTCAAAAAATAAAATATGGTTAGGTCATATTACATAAATGTCACGCTACTTTCATGAGACATAATAATAGTTGTTTTATCATTATTTTCTTTAAATAGTTGCTGCGTGAAGCTTATGAATTGCATACATCTACCGAATCAAGTAGTCAAAAACCCAACAAACAAAAATGCGGTGATTTCACTCATCAACTGGAGTGTTCTCGTGCATTACTTCATTTAGAATCATTGGAATTAGTTAGTGAACAAGCCAGTAATCAATTACACACTCGTCTAGATTCTTTAACAATGGATACTACTGATAATGATAATCTATTTGAAGCAATATGGACTAATTTAAATTTGGATGAAGTAGAAAATGATGATACTGATGACGAATACGATGTGGATAATCACGATCGCAGCACTGCTGCCAACAGGATTTCTCCAACATATAGTTCATATGCATCGATAATGAAGAAATTCAAAACTAAACTCCCTAACGATTATAATCTTGACAAAGATGATAAATCTGATCAACAATTGCCAGAGAATTTAAGTAGTCGAACTGTTCAATTATGGTGCAAAATAACTGAAACATCTGATTGTTTAAACTCAATTTATCCAAATGGACGATTTTTAGAAGTAAGTTTAAGGTCCGTTAGGTTTGCTTTTAAACAAGTAGGTGAATCAATTCTCTGTTAAACTGTCACGGGGATTAGAATATAGTTAATTAGTTTAAGATTGTTAAACAAAATTCGATCAGTTATACTAGTTACCAGTTAAATTATAGAGTTTGGTAAAAAAAAATAATATATTATCTAAATTACTTGGGATTCAGACACAAAAGAGTCTTGCCATCGTATAATTTAAAAGGCATAATGTGAAACCATAACTACACGGAATGGTTACTCGTTATGGTGTAAATTTTGTTGGAAGTGTAAATCAATAAACATTTGTTGTTCTTTGTTCTGTTCAAACTAGACTCTATTTAATCGCGTAATTACTAATATACTGAATGGTAAGGACTTTTATTCAATTTATACATCAACAAAGACTTCAGTAAGTGAAGACCATGCCACTTTTATGAAAAATGTGACAGAAGACTACATCGGGTTCTCCACTGGCTTCCATTCTGAGCCACATCTAATGCCATCTCAGATCACTGAGTTGCAGTTTCTAAGACACCGATCGAAGATTTGCAATAGACTGACATTCCAGAGTTCTATACAGCCATCCTTCATACTCGAGGTCCAGTCCCAGCATCGACAACTACTGCATAGTGTGGAAGTCACTAGGATAATATCTACAAACCATATTTAAGCCACCAACGTCGTTTCACGATGGCGTCTCCCTTTTAATCGTTATCACATCGCCCAAACACATTATGGGACCTCAGCCTTACTAACATGGTGGTGTCATATAAATGTTTAAGATGAGAATTTTCATACATATTTTTAAGAACATTGTCTTTTTGTCGACATTTCGGTCAGTCTTAACACAATTATCATGTAAACTATAAGAATTCATCATAGCATTACAAGATAAATTTAACGAGACCGATCACAAAAAAGTGAAAATAACATTAATGATAGCAATAAAAAATGAACAGGGAATATGGTTCAGAATGGTTCACCAAACAAAGCTATGCAATAATAATGTCTCAAAACACAGTAGAAGATTAATAATAAACATATCTAAGCTGATGATTCCGCTCTTCAGCGATGATATATACAACCATCGAATATGATTATCATAAAGGCACACTATAACGGTTAGTGACTTCGTAGTTAGATGTGATGTGTTGGTTTGGATGCCCCATTACTTTTTCCAACCTACCTCTGTGATATCTAGCATTTTACATTGGGGTAGACGGTAATTTGATGTATGAAACACATAATTACATGGGTACTATCCAACATCATACTTCACTTTAACATTGATGACTAAAAGTTACTTTTCAGGTTGCACAATATAACAACTAAGTTGTATGATTCTTTCACGAAATGCACTGTTTTGAAATCGATAGATAGAAAGCTTATTGGCATCCCTCAGCAATAACTATGTTCACGATGTTTAGGAAACCAAAACAACATAAAACTGGTTATCAACGAGATCATTAATCTATTTAAAATTGTGATGGGTTTGATTTAGCGTCTCTCTAAATTACAACGAGATGAACGAATTTAGTTCTCAACTAGGGGAATCTGTGGTCAGTCATGAGCGAAGCAATCATCCTGATAATTAAAACTAATCAGTATTATTTTAAAATAGCCAACATTGGTAGCCTATAAAATTACCTTAGTGCACTGTTTCTTGCACACAAGCATGAGTACCTTTGCTTCATTTTAGGTGTATCTTTATGTGTTGTTCCTCATACCGATCACCTTGTATATACTAAGTGCTCATGATAAAATGTCATCATTAGAATAATTTACTTGTTTATTTAAATTCGTACCATTCGTCGTCAACAACGACGAACTCATGATATCCTTCGACGTAACAGCACTGTTCACCTCAATTGAACCACAACTAGCAAAAGAAACTATATCCCTGCTACTCAACAACGACACAAATCTCACCAAATACACGACGCTTCAAATTAAAAGTCTACTGGAACTCATCGATTTATGCCTAACAACATATTTTCAATTCAACAACAAAATCTACGAACAAACAAAAGGGACACCAATGGGATCACCAATATCAGGACTGATAGCAGAAGCAGTGATGCAAAGACTAGAAGCCACGATATTACCAGTGATCAAGCCAAAAGTTTGGATTCGCTACGTAGACGACACCTTTGTCATCGTCAAAAAGGATGAACTAGAAAACACATACAAACTGATCAACAACGTTTTCAACGACATCAAGTTTACAATGGAACAGGAGTCAAACAACCAACTAGCATTCTTGGATATATTGATCACTAGAACCGATACAGGAAAACTGGAGACTCAAGTATATAGGAAACCGACCCATACAGATCAAATCCTCAATTACAACAGCAACAACCCAAGAGCTCACAAAATCAACTGCATACACACATTGTTCAAGAGGGCGAGGACACACTGCAGCACACTGGCAGCACGAAAAAATGAAGAGAAACACCTGAAGGACATATTTCAAAAGAACGGCTACCCAATCAACTTCATCAAAAAGCACCAACGGCACACAGCATCAGAACCCAAATCAAGCACAAAAATCAACAAAAGGATCACCCTACCGTACATACAAGGAATATCAGAAACCGCAACGAGACTGCTGAAAACCTTCGGGATAGGTGTGGCACACAAACCAACAAAATCATTACAATCAATCCTATGCAAACCAAAAGATGAAATAACAAAGGAAAACAAATCAAACATCATCTACAAAATAAATTGTACCAACTGCGACAAACACTACATCGGACAAAGCGGACGCCCCCTCCACCTACGCCTACATGAACATCAATTAGCAGTCAAACGCCATGATATCTCTTCACTTATATCAATACACGTGGATAACTACGGACATTCATCCGATTGGGAAAATGTAGAAATCTTAGACAGAGGAAACTCCAAAAACACCAGAGAATTTTTAGAAGCTTGGCACTCAGGTCAATCAGCAATCAACAAACATATTGAAATCAATCCAATTTATCAACCAATCAGGAAAATCATGCATAAATATAGGAACAAAAATCAAACCAATGGGAGACACAACCAAAACAAAGAAGTAAACAATGATAAATTTAAGGTCAACAAGAACCAATCAACATCGAGGTGCACAGAACAAGCTGTGAAACACATATGGAGAAATTCGAACACTTCACTTCTATCTGAAGTTTGTGCTGATGATGTCGTTCAGAAGAACGATGAAAGCTCCACGACCAAACCATCCAGCTCAGAGAACAAAACTCCACCAAAATCATCCACCTGAGCTACAAATCTTCTCCACCATCTCAAGAACGATTATGGTGTACATCTCATTGTTTTAAGTACCTTGAAATTACGCAAATATAATAATCAATAATGTCATTATTATTATTATTGGAAGTGGTTAATAAAAAAGTACAGTCGTTTGATGGGAAGTGTAGGAAGTAATTTCTTACAGATACGATTCTAAACTATTTCCTAGACTGTCGAGCACAGAGTTTCAGCTTAGCTGAAGTCAGAACGAGTAAGCTATTTGGCTTGATAAACTTTATCTGTTTTTCTAAAACGTAAACTAACACTAAATTCACATGGTATTGTTTACTTGAATCTTCCCATTGATGTTTAGGACTGCAAGTAGTCAGTCTCTCATTGTCATATACGCTTACTGTGCGTATTGCCTCGATATTACCTTAATTCACAAGCATTCTAAGCGGAGATAAATAGTAGCTAACAGTAGGATGCGGGACGCGCGTTTCGTCCTATTCGGGACTCGTCATCTGGATGTACCTGCATCACACAGTTGATATGCACTCCAGGACTCAAACCCAATACCGTTCGCTTCAAACGCCATCGTGTTATCCAGTCTGCTACTGAGTCCTCATAGCCACTGGCTTGTTCAATGTGGTTAAGTTTAAATTCATGTTGTATTGTTTATTTGAACGTTCCGGTTAATGTTTAGGGCTGCGATGGACCAGTCTCTTATTGACATCCAGCCGACGAGTTCCAAACAGGACTAAACGCGCGTCCTGCATTCCGCTGCTAGTCACTAACCATCTTCGCTTAAAATTATGGTTGGTTAATAAGCAAATCATGGTCATACTTGATGTATGACCAGCTGTGGAAACAGCAGTGGGATCTATTAGTGATTTGAACCAAAAGATTACAAAAAACCAATGGATTTCTTCTAAGTCTATTGCACTGATGGATTCTCGTAAACTCACCCCATCAGGCTCTGAACACGATAAAGAGCGAAAGCAAATCAGACCTAGGTTAACCGAAAGTCTAAGGAACGACTATGATCAGTGGTAGGCAGCGAAAGCAAAAGAGATGGAAAAAGCAGAGGCTGTAGGTAACAAAAGACAGCTTTTCGGACTAATAAACGAAACTGGAATTAAGATGTTAAATGTAAGTGATGCGATCTCAGGATAAGACGACATTTATCTGCTCTCAGCCCAGACGTTTAGAACGATGGGCGGAACAATTTAAGGGGCAGTTCATCTGGCCTTCAGCTACTCTACAACTACCCACCATTCCCAGACAGCCTGAATGGGACATTGAAGTAGGTCCCCCGACTCTAGTTGGAGTTCGAAAGGACATAGCTAATCTGAAAAGAGGAAGAGCAGCTGGTCCAGATGGATTATCTCAACAAGTCTCTAAGTATGATGGTCTATTTTTAGCGATTAGCTTGACTAATAATACATTGGCCGGATACCATCAGCAACAGCCTTCTCCTCCACGAGGAGTGACAGGCGTAAGTAAGTTGACTAATAAATCAGCTAAAATCTGGGAGTTGGACATAATCCCGTCTGACTGGTCACAATCACTGATTGTCGCAATACAGAAGAAGGGGTCAACATCATCCTGTGATAACCATAAAGGGATTAGTTCGAATAATTTAGCATCTTAAATACCAGCCTCAATAATTATCGGGCTTACTTACTTACTTACGCCTGTTACTCTTCGTGAAGGAGCATACGCCGCTCACCAGCATTCTCCATCCAACCCTGTCCTGGGCAATCCTTTCTAGCTCCGTCCAGTTGTAATTCATCGTTTTCATATCTGCTTCTATTATCCGACGCAATGTGTTCTTTGGCCTTCCTCTTTTTCGCTTCCCTTCAGGATTCCAAGTTACGGCTTGCCTCGTGATGCAGTTTGACGATTTGCGTAATGTATGTCCTATCCATTTCCATCGTCTTTTCCTAATTTCTTCTTCAGCTGGAAGTTGGTTTGTTCTCTCCCAGAGAAGGCTATTGCTGATGGTGTGGTGTGAGCTACTTATATTCATATAAGTAGTATATAACGTGCGTTAAATAAACGTAGGGTCCGGCAGCAGAAGATGGCGAAGAGCAAGAGCACAATGGAATTGTAAGAAAACACATGTACAATGGAATGGGAGACAATGGATTAGTGTTTGCAACGGGAACAGTACAGTTTGATATGATGGAATGATATTTTGCAAATTGACGATTGACTTTATGGTATTCACATTTTATTGAGATAGTCTGTAATCTTTGTGCTAAATACAATCGATTGTCCCCACCCGTGTTCTTGTTCACTACATTGGTATCCGGCCAATGGATGTTGAGTATCTTGCGTAGACAGCTATTTATAAATACTTGTACTTTCTTGGTTGCGGTTGTTCTCCAAGTTTCAGCTCCATACAGTAGAACTGCCTTGACGTTCGTATTGAAGATTCTCACTTTGATATTGGTTGAAAGTTGTTTTGAGTTCCATATGTTCTTCAATTGTAGGAATGCGACCCTTGCTTTGCCGATCCTCGCCTTTACGTCTGCATCTGAGCCTCCTTGTTCATCGATGATGCTTCCCAGATATGTGAAGGATTCTACATCTTCCAGAGTTTCGCCATCAAGAGTGATTGGATTGCTGTTCTCCGCTTTGAATTTGAGGACCTTAGTTTTCCCTTTGTCTATGCTGAGGCCTACTGATGCAGAGACTGCTGCTACACTGGCTGTCTTCATCTGCATCTGTTCGTGTGTACGTGATAGGAGGGCTAGGTCATCTGCGAAGTCCAAATCGTCTAATTGGTTCTGAGCTGTCCATTGTATTCCGCGTTTTCCTTCAGATGTTGAGGTCTTCATAATCCAGTCGACCACCAGAAGAAAGAGGAAGGGAGAGAGTAAACAGCCTTGTCTGACTCCGGTCCTTACTTGGAATGCATCTGTCAGCTGTCCTCCATGCACTACTTTGCACTGTAGTCTGTCGTATGAGTTCCGGATAATGTTGACAATCTTCTCAGGAACTCCGTAGTGTCGAAGAAGTTTGATGTATAGTGATGAGTTCCACTCAACTGATTGTTCGACGATGATCCGTAGTGTTGCAATTTGGTCTGTGCACGACCGATCCTTACGGAATCCAGCAATAGAATTCAAACGTCTTTTACTCTTGTGTACAAAAGATGTTCAGTTCCAGTTCAACAATACTATATACCGACAAACCGATGGTGTAGCAATGGGAAGTCCGTTAGGCCCCGTCCTAGCAGACATTTTCTTTCATGGCTAACCTCGAAAGAACCAAGCTCAAAGGAGCGATTGATGAAATGGTGTATTATTCGAGGTATGTTGACAATACATTCATCTTATGTAATAATCAACAACATGCAACAAATCTGTTAAAGTTTTTCAATGAAGCTCATCCAAATATTCATTTCACTATGGAACATAAAAAAGAAAACATGTTCCATTTCCTCGATATAGCGATAAAACGAAGAAAGGATGGCACAGTTCAACGCTCAGTTTATAAGAAAGACACATGGAATGGTAGTTATCTCAATTTCAACAGCTTTTGTCCAATCAATTATGAAAAGGCGCTTGTCAAAACACTGTTTCATAGAACAAAAAGAATATGCACTCCCGATACAATAGAAGAGGAAATTATGAATGTTAAAAAGTGTTTAAGAAATAACGGATACCCATTGAAATTCATTGAGAAATATGGAAAACGTGAAGATAAAATACCCAAAGAAACTACAGTAAATAAAAGACCTGTTTTTATTCAACTCAAGTTCAAAGGCGATAATGTCACAGGGTCAATCAATATGAGACTAAAAACTGCACTGACAAAAACATATCCTGCAGCTAAATTGATTGTCCTGTCCAAAACGACATGTTCTTTGACACAATCAAAGGTCGACAGGTATCCCTTTCATGTTACCACCAACTGTGTATACAAATTTACATGTATCTGCCAAAGCAGTTACATTGGTAGAACAGAAAGGAGAGCCTACGTCCGATTCAAAGAACATATTCCGAACAGTTTGAGATCAAACGAACTAAAAGCATTTAGCAGCGCTGTCGCAAGACATCTCCTTGACACAGGACACGAAGTCGATTTACTGAAGTCCTTCAAGGTGATCAACAAACAATCAAATTCAAACCTTTTGAAATTCGCGGAAGCAATAGCAATCAAACGTTTAAAACCAGATCTTTGTATACAAAAAGAAACAGTAATAAATCTTTCTTTGCCCTGGTAACATTCACCCCACCCCTTTTATTTTATTTATTTTTATTACGTCATTTCAACTCTTTCTGAATTTTATAATTACATCACTCATAACTGACCAATTTCAATTCATATCTCTCTTTATTAACATTAATCTATTTTCCGTTACTTCATTACATAATCGTCTAATGTGTTTTAATTCCATGATTTCTAATCACTATTTCAATTTTCTGGAACCTTC